GACTAAGAGAACTAAAAATCAATTCATTGTATATCATATTTCATTCATGTACAAAAATACAGGACACATGTTCTTAAGACTCTTAATCCACTTTCAATTTCTTATTACCATGCATTGAAGTTCCATTTGATAGTAATACCTGGCAATAAGAAAAGCAAGGAAAACTGAAAACATGAAAAAAAACTAAAGGGCTTAAACTGTAGACAAATAAATGAACTACCTTGAAAAGAAATAGAAAATGAGTGTGTTTTTTTTGTTTTATAATATTTTTGCTTTCTTTGAGCATATTATTAATTAAAAATCAAAGCCATATTTTGTTTACAAGGATAACTCATCAAATCTGAAAATTGTCTTTATTGATTTGCAACTACTATCAAATTCTTGGCTTGCAATCACTTGTTTATGTCAAGTTTCAAATAATTATATACAAATGAAGAGTTTAAAATGTGGGCAAAAAGATAAATTGGTTCAAAGAGGAAATAGAAAACAAATGGACGCCTTTGTTTTGTAATAATTTTACTCCATCTAGGCATATTACATGCGCATATTAATTAAAATAAAAAATGATATTTTTTTTTGTTTGTCTTTTGTTGATACATTTTGTTTTCTTAATTTTTAAAAAAGGCTAAATTAGGTAGACTTTGATTTATATCGTGTGCTATGGTATCTACCATACCATAAAAGTGTGATTTATAAACCCTCATGATGAAAATAATTTCTTTCTTTATTACTAACTATAATGGTTAAAGAAAGGGATAATTTCGCAAACCTCCCCTGAGGTTTGTAACACTTGCACTGAGACCCCTCCAGGTTTTAAAAATTTCACCTAGCTCCCTTGCTTTTCAAATTTTGGCAACAATTCAGTCCAATTAGGATTAAAATATTACTATCATGATAGAGATGACATTTTTATTCCATGAATACCCTCTTCCTCTCTATATTAGTACAAGATTGCAAGTTATTAAAAAGGTTGAGATGATTATCAAAGTTGAGGGGATATAAATGCAATTCAGGAATTTTGATGCAGTACATGGAGACATCTTCAGTATGTTAACAGGAATAGCCAATGACAACTTGCAATCTTCCAACGGCCAGATTTTGTATACCTCCAACTGTATATAAACATCAGAAGTGCAAAGTATATCCTCAAGCCAAAAGATTGTGAGGAGGAAGAGTTTAGGTAGATTAATCCTCATTGTTTTGCAGGAGCATTAACAGAAGGCTATAGTGAAAACATTTAGCAGATCTTATGCATGGCCCCTTGATCCACCATCGACTGCTTGAACCAATGCAAACCGCGGAGTTTAAGCACTTTTAGCTGAGGAAGTCCATTGCAGCATTCTTAACTGACAGAATTTTCAGAAATTTCTGGTTAGTAATCAAAAGTTGCTGTGGCACTGGTTAGGCATTGAAGTAAGGGATGCAATGGGGCTTGCCATCCCCATTTGGTGTCCAACGTACCATAAAAGAGTAGGACACAAGCACCCAAAACATCATTGGAGGCACCATTTTGAAGCTGTTTAGAGATGAACTAGCATTTTTAGCATGATTTTATTTATTATTGTGAATTTGTGCAATGACTCTTACGGATTGCTACAAGGATTCGGTGACGGATAAAGTATCAACAAATAATTTTTATTTTAAAAGGAATTAAAAAACTTGAAAAAAATTTGCTGGCCAAAATTTGTAGTAAAAACTTAAAAATTATTCACATGACCATCATATGAGTAATTAGTCATAATTTATTATAGTTACTGCTAGAAGTATTTTTTAAAATTTTTAAAAATAACTAGTTGTTGGCACATGACTCGATTTTGACAATAGCATTCGATAAAAATCAGTTATTAGAACTAAATATGCATGAAACTAAAATATTTGGAACTATATTTATTTTCCCAAATTTTAGTAACTAAAAGCCTTCAATTCCAAATATTTGGAGCCAAAATTGTAATTCTCCCAAAGCAGTATTTATCTATCAAATTCGGCTTTGCTTCTGACCTTATATATTGGGTCAAGAATGTAGTGCCAACTTGGTAGCGTTAATAAAAATCCCCTGCTTCAATGATGCGAATAAATTAGCTGAAAAAAAGAAAAATCAAAGTCAATCATCAAAGCTTGCACGAGCTCAACCCATCAAATTTTGCTTTGTGCTACTGGGTGAGAGATTTGGATTGGATAAAAATCATAAAATAAAGGACGGCACAACAACTTTGATCCGAACGCCAGACTGAAGATGGCTGGACATTTGAAGATGTAAATACCAATGTGAAAATGCATTTGTCATCCAAGTTAGTCATCTAAACCAACCTCTAAGGACAAATTGGTAATTTCAGCACTCTTCATGTCAGCAATGACCCCAATACTCTGCCAGGGGAGCTAGGTGAAAATTTTAAAACCTAGAGGGGTCTCAGTGCAAGTGTCAGAAACCTCAGGGGAGGTTTGTGAAATTATCCCTTAAAGAAATGACTACTCAAGAGGTTCCCCAATACCAGAAGGAAGACCATTGTGTCATGTTTTGTTTGCTCAAACGGAGAAAAGCAGGTTAGTTGTTCAAATCACTAATATATATTCTCCAAAAACAATAAATTGACATTAGCTTTTCTTCCTATAGGGAATTTTTGCGTCTATTTTTCATTCCCTTGGTCTTCAAAATGGTCAAACTATTACAATCTACCAGGCATACAGCACTGGGAAATCAACCTCAAAGATAGATGTTTTGAACAGGGATAGGACTCCTTCTGCAGAGAAAATCTTATTCATGAAAATAATATGGTTTTTCTTCACAAAGGGAAATCTTACCTACAATGTTTTAGCTTTCTCTAAGACACAAACTCATATTTGGATGCCTTGGACTCTTCCATTACCAATGCTCTCAAACAAAGGCAGCTGCTTATTTCCTTAGTCTTTTTTTGTTATTGATGTACCCTTTTTTTTGTTTCCATAGTATTTAGTATTGTTGACATGTTATCCTTTGTTAATTTATAAAAGATCATGAAGTCCAGGAATCTGTCCTCCATCTCATTGTCTCGTCTATAAATCCATTACTAAAACATGACTGGATGGCATTCAGTTGCTTCTATCAATTCTATCTATCAAAGTACAGTACAAGTTGGCATTGTTTTGCGTTTCCTCACTTTATTAACTCTCTTTGTTTTTTTTTTTTAATTTGTGTGCACTTCCTGATCACTTTTTTTTGTGCATTTATAGGATCTACCAGAATTTACAGATCTAAGGCTAAATGAAGATAGGATGCCAATTTATAACTCTCACAAATAGTCATAAATATTATCACACTGGTATGACTGGCAGATGTTTTGATCAAAACTGGAACTATTTTGTTATTGATCATGATTTACGAATGATCAAATACTATTTTTATTCTATAGTCGAATACTTCCTTTGCCATACTGGTGTTTGACCGAAAGAGATAGAAAAATTGTATCCATGGCACTTTGCGTTTTGCATTTGATCAGGCATTTGGTTTACGTGATTTTGTTACAGCAAAATGCACTTCATTTGCTGCATTTCTGTTCTTAATACAACATAAGTTCTGATTAGAAAAATGTTTCCAATGCACTAGAAGTTTAATGTTTAGCAAGTTGTTGCAGTTGTTTATAGATTCAAGCATTGATAATGGATGTTTAGCCACAAAATTGATGTAAAGCTACTGACTGCACTTATCAAGTTTTGAAAGTAAATGTTTGAAGTGTTTCTTTGGTTTTTTTCCTTTTTAACTAATAATTAGCCATTGCAATTTCTTTTGCAAAATGTTTCCATAAAACAAATTATTGAAGAGGTTTATCTCCATAAACTACATGTTTAAGAATTGATCTGTTTCGGACTTTATTAATTCAATATACTTTTTTGGCAAAAATTATTATTTATTATTTTAAGATTGGATAGGGTATTCATTCCATTGCGAAGCGGGTTTATGCCTCCTAGTTCGAAGGATATCATACTTTTTGCCACCTGACTCATTAATAGTTCTTTGGTACTTATATGGAGGTGAGTTGTATCTTCTCCTAGTTTCGAGTAACACATTACGGAGCCCCCACGGGGTAGCTCGGACGGTGTGCTCCCCCTCTTTAGGGTATGACCACTTACCTGGCAACCAGGGTTTGAGTTCCGTGGCTTACGTCTTCGGTGTGGAGTGGGGCCTCCTCTCCCGGAGCGCAGGGGATTAGTCGAGCCCCGTAAGAATTGACCCGGACACCCTCTGTGTCGACAAAAAAAAAAAAAAAAAGAGTAACACATTACCGCTTGTCCGACTAATAAAACGTTACAGTGCTGGAACAATAGGAATCACAAATAATTGATACCATCTCTTCCTCTGTCACTAAAGAAATCTTTGAAATCCCCACTATTACTTAATCTCTCTTCTGCCTTTCTCTCCAACCAAAAGGAATGCACAATAACAAGTCCGTAGTCCACCCTAGGAAAGACAGAACCCTCGTCTCTCTCCCTTGGAAAACGCCTTCAATTTTCAAACATCAACCCAACGACCTCACTGTTTACTCTCTCTCTTCTTCCTTTAAAAGTTTACAAAGCAAAGTGTCTAACTTTCCCTAGGGTTCAACTGATAGCCCTTGTTCCAAGAATCCATTTTTATTCTTTGATTCTTCAATTTCTTGATCAATTTTTTTCATGGGTTTGATCCGATTTCAGTCTTTCGCAAATCCCATCAGAATTACACTGAAAAAAAGTTACTGATATATTTTTATTTCGGTTTCTGGATCAACAATCCTGTTGATCCATCAATGGAATTGTTATCTGATGAAATCAAATCAATCCCCAAGTTTTTGAATCCATAAATGAAACCCAGATCGTCATTAATCCGCAGCTCGTCGATTTCAGATAGCGCTGGGGGATTATCGTGCGTGCCATTATCAGCAGCATCATCATCAATGGCGGCGCCGAGGAGTGTGGTGGTTGATGCTGGCAGTGTCGGCGTTGGAGTCGGAGGAGGGAGGGTGAGGGATGAGGAGAAGAGTTTTGGGATTATACTGCAGCGATGGCGGGGGATTCGCCCACCGGCAAGAAGGGTAAAATAGGGAAGGGGTGATTTTTCCGTTATCCCGGTGGGAAGTCATGGCAGGGTTGGGTGTATTTCTGTTGTTTTCCGTTGGATTGGGTTGTATTTACCTGACAATGCCAGTTGCCGACTATAGTAAGCTCAAGCTGCCTCGGACCCTTTCTGATCTTCGGATGCTCAAGTAAGTTGCTTGTTTTCTATTACTTTTCTTTTATAAATGTAATTTATTTGGTTGGATTTGTTTTTAATTATCGATTGCTTTATGATATGGGAGGACCCTTGTATATTGAAGTTTTTGTTTAACTGCTATTTTAAGTAGTAGTGCTTGGAGTTAATTGGTTAGGTTTATAGGGGTGTTTTAGCAGTGTAATGTGGATAGCTAAAGTACAATGTGCCTATGGACACAGGAGGAACGGGTGAGACTTGAATGGTATTGCGACTTGAATGGTAGAAGACTTGATAGATGGAAATGGTAATTTTTTGCACTTGCATAGAAGTTCCAAGATCCCAAAGTGTACTATTGGTTTGGCCCTCCAAGATCCTACGGTTTTTAAGAGCACAAGATCCTGCGGTTTCTAAGAGCACAATGTATTGGCGTATTGCTTCAGTTGGAGAAAGCTATGCTAGAACTGAAGTAGGCTTTGGGCCTGATGTGGAGAAGTGTAATATGTGGCATCATATCATCAATTTGAAGATAATAAATGTGAAATGGGTAGGAATGTACTGGTATATGATTTAATCATTTGTCGTGTTTGAATTTGAGACCTAGGTTCTTTCATTATCTTTGAGAATAGGAAATATGGTATGCAACTAGTTAATAGTGGTTTAGAATTCAGGACATATGATTGAAATAAAGACTTTTATGGTCCTAGTGATCTGTACTCCAAACCAAAGAAATGCAAGATAAGAAGGAGAGCTCTTCAGGTAAGGTTTCAATGAATGCATGTGGTAAGAGTAAAATGGACCTTATGGTCGATCCAAGGTCCTGTCCACCTGGACTCAAATCTAGCTGATCTTTAATCTATTTCTTCCAGCCAACTCATGAACAAATGTTGGACCAATTTCACAGCTGGCGCAACTGAATTGGTTGATTGAAGACTGAAGAAATGCCAAGTTGTCAAGGACATGTATGAAGAGGAGGCAGATCCTCTAAATTTACCAGAAATATGGGCATAGTAATTTAAATTATTTACCAAGTTGCCAAGTTAGTAGGTCCTTTATTGTTTATGATTATTCGGGATGATTATTTGGGGATGGCAGACAGTGATTTATATAGTGGTTGTCAGGTATTCACAGCTTTCTTCTTTGGCTTGTAACACAGTGAAATGAGAAATTGCAGAACATAGTAATCGAGGGCTTGTGTAAAGTATGTAGTGTTGTGTTGTGGCTTTCTTGCGATGTAGTTTGGGTCTTCTACAATTAACTTCCAGGAGTTCATTAGCATTTAAATTGTAACTACTGCACTCTGTCCAAAATGGAAACATATTTCCTTAATATTGCCAAAGGAATGTTATAATTGTCTTATTCATTTTGCCAATTGCGCAGAACTTGTTCTGAGAGTTGAAACAGGTATGTTGTGCTTGTGAAACTCCAAGTTTAGGATCTTTGCACCAATGTTTTAAAAGGCGAAAACATTGGGCGAGGCATTTGGTCCTTGCCCAGATGGGGTGAAAGCCCCAAGGCATGAGGCGTAAGCCCCACAAATTTTGATTATTTAATATTAAAAAATATGAAGAATACAAAAAGAAAAACTATTAGATTACTACAAATATACAAATATAGAGTAAATGAATATTAAAAAATCAAAATGCAGAAATGTTAGTGCTTTAAAATTCTGCACCAATTAAGCAGATAATTTCAAGTGATTTAATTCTTTCTCTTTAAAGTCAACACCAGATTGAAAATTTCCCCACAGCTCAATTACATCAACTGCCTTTACTCGTTCAATTCCTGCCCCAAAAAAAACTTTCATTCAAAAAATAGATTTTCATTCATTCTTTCCCCTGGGTTGTGAAGTAGTGGAAGCTGAGGGATGGTGGTGACGAAGGGGCTGAGTTGCAAATTTGGAGGAGTGAAAGACTTTGGTTGACTTGATGATGGATTGACACTATGTAAGAGGGATTGATGAGTGAATAAAAAGAGGAATTAGGGACTTTGGAGGGGATTAGGGTTTAGGAATTAGGGATTTGCGATTAAACACAGAGGCCTCTCGGTATCTGTCGTGGATTGTAAGGTTTTAAAAGTTGAAAAAAAGAACTGAATTACAGGAATTATGGAACTATATCAAAAGGCATATGCCTTCTTCCTTGAGGCGAAAAAAACTCGCCCAGCACAGTAATACGTTTGCCCCATCAGTTGGGGGCGTGCACGCAACGGTATGTCCACCCCTTCAACTGCCCGGGGCAGTTGACATGTGCCCTGCCCTGGAGGCATGCCTTATTAACACCTCTCAAAACAATGCTTTGCACTGCTTCTTGGTTTTACTCGTACATTTAATTGAGGAATTCATATTGTGGGTTGGTCTGTTAGACATGCCAAAATGAAGTCTTGTAACACAGACAACATATGATTTTTTATGTTGTAATATTTTTTGCACCACAGCATGTGGTTTCCCGAGAATAAATTTGCAAATATATCTAGAAGTTCTTTGAAAGAGATTTTTTTTCTCCAACCAATCAAAGTTTTTAAAATTTCTGGAGGTTCTTGAGTAGTTGTTGCTTGTCAAAAAATTGGCCTACCTAGTTGGTTGCGTATTCTTGGGCCATTGATAAAGTTCTGTGGGTTATGCTGTGAATAAAATGACAGACTTGGAAGCAAAGTGGCTTAAATTTTGTAATGGAATAAGCATAATCATGTCAACAAGTTGCTTTTTATCACCAATATCTGGTCTTAGATGTGTGTCTTCCAGATGAAGATGTCAAAGCTGGAATTACATCATATTTGAAGCTACATAGTTGAAATATTTTCTTTTAATGGACCAAAATTCGGGTATTTCATCTTTTTTTTTTTAAAAACAAATTTTGGAGTTAGGATTTTGAGTAATCGGGTGTCCTAGCTTACCCTTTCTTCACTGTTATCATGTGAATATGGTTCTTTCAAGTTGTTTATTTTGTCTACTCCCTCCACTACATCTTAACTTGAATTTTTTATACCATTACCTTGCCATCCATTCCAGACTGAATGTTTGTATAATTGCAATTTAATATTGCTTAAGTTGTGTTTCCTATTCTATTTCAGAGATCATCTTGCGACATATGCTAGTGTTTACCCAGCACAATTCATCCTTGGTTACTGCTCGATATATATCTTCATGCAGACATTCATGATCCCTGGGACAATCTTCATGTCCTTACTTGCTGGAGCACTTTTTGGTGTTATCAGGGGCCTTTTCTTGGTTGTCTTTAATGCCACTGCCGGGGCATCATCCTGCTATTTTCTGTCTAAGCTAGTCGGAAGGCCTATAGTTAATTGGCTTTGGCCTGAGAAATTGAGATTTTTCCAGGCAGAGGTACATACACTGTGACTTAGTTTTTTGTACATGCTTAATTGGTAATTTATGCACCTCATTCATGATAGTCATTTCCCTTGCTCTTTTCAGATAGCAAAACGCAGAGACAAGTTGCTTAATTATATGTTGTTTTGAGAGTAACTCCAACCCTGCCAAACCTTTTTATCAACCTGGCCTCACCCATTGTTGATATACCATTTCATATCTTTTTTCTGGCTACTGTGGTGGGTCTGATTCCAGCTTCTTACATTACTGTCAGAGTAAGTTCTTTTCTACTGGGTTTTGGTTTCAATTTGCGCTTTTATCTATGGTTTGTTTTTCTTCATTTTTTTTTCTTTTCTCTTTGGCTATTATATGTAATATGTTTCTTAGGGGCATATTACTGTGACAGAGCAGTATATGTTGTTTCTTAAGATTGTAAAACACAGTATACAAATATATAGAGCATCTGTAGGCCATTGCTCGAAAGTGTGTGTGGACTAAGTTGAAGTGGCATAACTAGATTCTTTTGAAAGGGGTTTTATTACTGGAATGCCTTAAAAATCTTGTTCGGATGACGTTTTGTTGTGCTTCTTGGTAATGTAAGAATTTGTTGTGCCTTCGGAAATCTTTTAACCTGTCATCGCCTTGCAACTGGATTCCATAAGTTAGGCTTAAATTACTTGATCATATACAAAAATGCGTGCAATGGCGATTGTCAATACGATACTGAGTATAGGAATTAGTTCTTTTGTCTTGCCTTCCACTGTTCAATGGCTCCATGGAGTGGATAATTTGCTTTATTCTGCATTCTGCAGTTAATTATGTGATTAGTGGAGTTCAAAAAAATTATGTGATTAGTTATGCTCTATGTCAGAATTATTAAATACAAGTGGAATTGCTGATATCCTCCAGTAACATACTAGTGACAGTCATGACTGCATGAAGCCTATCCATCAATTGTTGGTTCATGCCTTGAACACATTTGATTTACAGCTGCTTTTGTTGTCATCAGGCTGGCCTTGCACTTGGGGAGTTGAAGTCAGTTAAAGATTTGTATGATTTCAAAACTTTATCTGTTCTTTTCCTCATTGGATCGGTGGCCATAATTCCAACCTTTTTGAAGAGGAAGCGAGTCTATGAATAGAGATTCTTGTTACCACCTACCCGTCTTTTTGAGGGAATGAAACTGGTGACAGGGTATGATCTGACTGGTATACCATTTTAAAAAGTTGGGGAACAGAGGTGCGAGTCCTTGTTAACTGCAATGCACCTGAAGGTTAGAAGTGGGTTCGCTTCACTTGCGATTTGCAGTCAATCACAGCTTTAAGCATCAAAAGAAGTGCTGATTTAGTTGATTTCGCATACTATTGGCTCACCTGTCTTCCTGGGGTTTATGAGGCCAACAAGCTGAAATATAACCAATTGCTAACTACTTTTGTATTCCAATATCAGCATAGTCATTTGTTAGGCAAAAGTAATGTTGTAATTTCCTTTCCGGGTATTTCCTTCCCTACGTCTTACTTGTTCCTTACTTTGTTACGTGTGTACCATGTTAGGATCCTATTGGATTGGACATAGTTGAAGATAATAGCTCTGTTTGGATCATTCTTTTCCGAAGTGTTTTTAGAAAAAAATTTATCGTAACAACCTTTTTTTTTCTTGAACAAGTATATGTGAGATAATTAGGCAGTGAGATAATGTGTTAAAAATTTAATAAAATCAATGCAAATAAACCAGACATTTCCATAGGTAATTGGCGGTTTTTCTATCATCTTAGGCTAAATTTACACTGCAAATGTGTTTGACTCGTATTAAATAATCATTTCCATACTTTGGTGATTTCATGGGATGATTAATGTTTGCTATAGACGGTTGTTGTGGGGCCATGTTTTGCCTAAGAATTAAGTGATATATATATATAGAGAGAGAGATATATATATGTATGTATATATGGACTGTGAACCTTATAAGGAGAATAAGGAAGGGCTTTAGAGTTGAACATGAACCTCACCGTCATTTATCCAATGTTCTTAGCAACTAAGTAGACCTTGAATATAACCGGATGTAACTCCATGAAAATGATAAAGAAGGACTCTAAAATTTTAACATTTGTGAATTACTAACTAAATTGAATTGTCAATTTTTCACAAGTATAGAATTAGATATTTCAATACTCATAATTGTGAGTCAGTTGTTATAAAAATAATTTGTGCAAAGTTTTCTCTTTTGCTAGCAAGATCTAATTAGGGGTGTGGGCAAGCCAATCTTGTGACAGCCTCACCTCACTCTAAGGCGAACCAAAGGGTTCGGCGGACTGCCTGCCCAACTCTCGCCGGGACTACGGATCCGGAACAAACGTAAACCCTACCAATGCTCAAAAGAATTTTGAGAAGATAAACATTCAGAATCCAATTGAGCCGAACTAAAAGATACGATAAATCTTTGGTACAACGTTCCACGAAAAATCAAAACGAAAAGGAAGTGCCGCAGCCACGTCACAATCCGGCCGGATTCTTGGCCGGATTGGAGGCAGTAACTCAGCCCCAAAAATTTTCAAATTCCCTGCAAATCCGGCCAAAACTGGCCGGATTCCATGAACAATTCCCACCAGAATTTTCTTCTTTTCTGGATCAACTATCGCACTCATCCGAAATCCAACCAAAAACAAGTAAACTTTGTCTAACATGAGAGAATGTACATTCCCAAATACATATACATAAACATGAGGAAACTTTTCAAAATATACATATTATTAAGTTTACAAATCCAAAGGAAACATTGTATTAAGATACATTTAGGGTTTCCAAATTGTCGAGGAGCTATACCAAAAGAACAAAAGAATTTCTAACTAGCTCAACTCATTCCTCAAAACATCGGAGTTCCAAAAGATTGTTCCCTATAAGGAAAACAAGAATAACGGAACGGGGTGAGCTAGAAGCTCAATAAGATACCAAAGTATAAACAGTAGAAATCATGAGAAATCACTTTTAAGGCACATATACACACAAATAAGAGAAATGAACGAACACCACAATTTGAAGGATACAGGGGGCTCTCAGGAGCCAAATCCCCGTTGCAATACTTGATCCAGCCTCGTTGACCATCCGTCAACGTTTAATGAAACACACATGTCCGTAGACCCCTTTTACGCCAAAATTCCGTTCACCAAACATACCCCTTATCGGCGCCCGAACGCCATACAAGAACAGGAATGGTAATACTCGAGTATACCGGAAACCTAGAATCTCCAATACCCAAAGATTTCCCAAAAACAAACACCCATGGATTGTCAATTTTCCTCAACCAAGCCCTTGCTGGCTTGATTCAATTGACTCCCTATGAGATTGAGCTCAGATTTAACAGGAAGGTCGTTGGATACACTTCCAAACGACATCATATCAGGCACAAAAGTAACAGATTCAAGCATATACAGGAAACAAATCACACAGGCTAGAGAACGAGTGTGATAAAGTACACACTCGTCTCGTTACAAAATAAACAGTCAGTAAAGACATTAAAATAGCAATTTGCAAGTACAGATAACCAGTTTAGCAATAATTCAGGGGAGTGGTACACTCACCGGTTCACGTAAAGATACTTCAAAAGTTGTCAACCAACGTATGACTTTAGTCACCAAGAAATCCTAGAATAACCAAGGGAAACAATTATGGTTCCCACAGCCACAAATCCAGCAAATAAGATGCATAATTGAGGCTCGACTGCAAGTCGTATACCTCTCTAAATAATTACTAATGCAAGAGTGCAAAACATGATTTTGGGAACGAAAAGGTAACATGAAGATCTAGGGCTCGAACAACCCAAAAGCCCTTCTTATATATCCCAAACCAAACCAAACTCGAAGAAATCCAATATTCCCAAAATTTGGACAGCATATCCCCTACATTTCCTTACTTTTCCATCCTACAATCATACCAATGTCATCTCAATTCAACCACAATTGAACACACAAATCACAAGCTATTAAACACACTTAGTTAGGGCGACAATACCCTTCCACTTGAGCCAATTAATAGCTTCAATACTAATCACAAGAAAGCCCCAATTTTGAAACCCTAAAACTGAAATTTTCCACCACAAACCACAATGAACATAAAGAGCTTCATTTTACCCCACATAAAGCTATCATACCATGACTAGTCAATAATTATCATGTAAGAACAGAAAAATTATCAATAAATCTGAAATTTGCCAAGCTCTACCTTAAATCATGAAATCTCCACAAAATAGCATATTTAACCACTAGTAACCTCTAATTTACCATTATTAGTAACAAAGAGAAGATTTATTGACAAAGTACCTTAACACCTCAAGAAAGGTAGTAGCTTGGAGCTTGTCCTTCCAAAATCACTCCACTCAATCCTTTAATCCACCTTAGTAAACAACTTTTATGAAGGGTTTTGTAAAAATTCTGGTTGGAATTCAAGATTGGACAAGAAATGGAAGAACAAATGAAGTTTCTCTCTTGGTTTCTTTCCCTCAAGGTGGCCGGCCAAGGAAGCTTAAAATGGGATAAAAATTGGGTCAAAATTGATGTTTAGGAAAGTGAAATACTCTTAGTCAAAGTCCACTCACTAATCGGGTCGCGACCCGTGGCGCCTCTAAGCTTTAATCTTATCTTCTTCTCTCCAATACTAATTAATCTAACTAACCTCCCATTATCTTCTAGCCCCCTTGAAGAATTATATCACTTAATACAAAACTCCAACTATTGATCCAAATTTATCGCACTTACCGCATAGCGGGTCCTGTGAGAACCCTGAAAAATATATATATATAAATATCATCTTGTATTTCGTTTGCATTTATTTTAGTTGCTTACCTTGAGATTTGAAATATTTCATATAATGATTAAGTGGCTAGTTAAATGCCTAATTGAATTCTTATCAAAATTTAGAAATTAAAAGTATCCTGATTTAATTAAGAATAACGGTGTAAGGGGAATGGAGTATCTATAAGTCATAATTAATATTTCTTGAGTTAGAATAATTTACCGCCTTAAAATAAAATGCTAAAATACTTAGTTTTCTTTATGTTAAAAATTAATGCTACCTGAGTAGATTAATTATGTAAAATTTCGTGAATTCCAATAATTAATCCTAATTAGCGAATAACGTTAAATACTAATAAGAATTTTCACGTTAAGACCAAAACCAATAAATTTTATGTGCAAAATAAAATTATTGTGCTAAACTATTGAAATTCTAGTTTTGTTTCATTAAATTCATACTTCAATGGTAAACCATTTCATTGATCTAACAATTAATCTCCCTGAACTCTAGTATTGTAATTAATGGTTTTGAAATAAAGTGTAAAGATAATTTTTATGTAATAAATAATATAATTGTGCCCAATATTGAATTATTCAGTTTTGTTATACTAAAAGTAATAATTCTTGAGCTATATTAAGTTTACTCTTTAAATAAATTCCTTAATTTACAATAGCTAACTTTATTACGAATAAGATTAAGAGTATACAGAAACCTTAGTATTAAGATGCAATCGATAAATTTTGGACAAGAACGATAAAAGTATCCTAGATATACTTAGGACGTAAGACTTACGATAATTAAGGTCTTGTAGGACTAGTGTATAATTCGACGTTTAAATCACACTTGGGGATAATTTTTGGACTTTAGTTAGGGCCAAGGACTTAAGGGGATATTAGGAGGAGATGTGAAAAGACCAAAATGCCCTCCATACAATCCAAAATAGCCATGCAATCCCAAAATCAAACCTGCCGGACAACATCTTCACAACCTCTTCATTCGGCCAATGAAAAGCTTCCCCAATCAAACACTCAACCAATTCTACCCACAAACACCTCTCAAAACCACGGCACCCTCCTCATTTCCTTTCCACTTCACATCTCAAGCCACAACTGCAATTCACTCTGCCTTGCTAGTGTCGACAAACCGAGAGAGCGTGAGAGAGGCCGAGCTGCATTCTGCAGCCGAGAGGAAGAAAAGAAACCGCAGGATTGAATGTTTTTGGTTCTGTCCGTCAGTCGGAGTGAAACCAGGGAGAGCAAGTGGAAGTCGGAGGAGCTGCTGATCATCACCAATTTTTCGTTCACTTCAGACCACCATTTCCAGCTGCAAATCGAACCAGGACCAACCAGTGTTCGTGAGAGCCGAGAGGGAGCAGAAATTTTCCAGAATTTTTGCGTGAAAGCTTAGCTTGCTGTGAGGTAAATTTCTGGATCGTTTAAGGACTGATCAGAGGTAGTTTGAGCTATCTAGAGGCATGCATGTACTATGGTACAATCGGATGAATGAGATTAAGCCATTAGAAAATTTCTGTTTTGAATGTTGATGTTTCTGCTGAGAAGTTGAGCGATAATGCAGTTTTATTTTCATTTTTCTGGGACATCTGAACACCTAAGTGACTTTAGCTGGACGAAAACTTGAAGTCTAATACCATGCATGTTGATTTGTGCATTCGGATGATGTGGTATAGTATACAAAAATTCTGTTTTGGGGCTAAACATTCTGCCGAGTAGCTATTTTAGAAATGTAGCATTATTTCTGATTTCCTGCGACAATTTGAGTTTGATTTAGTGTTTAACTAATTAATTACAATAAGGATAA